TTAAACTCAGTGCATATAGTAGAGAATCAACTTTTTAGGCACTTGTATTTCATACCTCAAGAAGAAAATAAGCTGGGTTCTATGCTTGTAATATTAGTACTTGGAAGTGGAGGTAGGAGGATTAGGAGTTCAAGGCCACTCTTGGCAACATTATGAGCTTGAGGATACCCTGGGCTACAGAGACTTTGAAAATAAAACACAAAACCAAAAAGGGGCTGGTGACATAGCTCAACATAAACACTACTACATAAAGTACTACTTGAGGAAAAACAGTTATACTTCTTACAAATGAAAACAAATCAGTATGGAGAGAATGTCTTTAAAAAAAGAATGGACAGGGCTGGTGAGATGGCTCAGCAAGTAAAAGTTACAGAAGGCCAATGACATGTCCAGAACCCATATTAAAATGTTGGATGAGGTAATGCACGTATTTAAATACCAGCACTTGTATGTTGAGATGGGAGAACTGCCAGGTGTTTGAGGGCTAGCTAGCCTGGAGTATGCAGCATGGCAGAAACAAAAAGAAGGACCCTGTCTTAACAAGGTGGAAGGAGAAAACTGACTCCTGACAGTTGTCCTCTGACCTCCACATGAGCACTATGGGATACCATGTCTACACACACATACACAAACACAATTACAGAAAAGGATGAGCATTATATATACAAGTGAATTAAACATGAGAAAATGACTGAAAACTATTTTAGGAAAGATGAAGGAATGATTACTAGTAAAAGACAGCATATAATCACATGGGAATAAATGAGATAAATACTTACAAGGAAAAAACACCCATGAATGATTACATGATTAATTTGTATTTTTCACTGACATTTCCCAGCAAGCCTTGATTCAACCATAATATATAACTCACCATTTTTTACGCAATGTGTAAGAAATTTAAATATTTGGATTTGGGGACAAACAAAACCATGAATGACACCATCAACAACATTAAAAAAAAAAAAAACAAGCTTGTGAAAAAGTTTGAACAGGCGCATACCTTTAATCCCAGCACTTGGGAGGCAGAGGCAGGTGGATTTCTATGAGACTGAGGCCAGCCTGGTCTACACAGCCAGTTCTATGCCAGCTGGGACTACAGGGAGACCCTGTCTCAAAACAAACAAACAAAACCAAATGAAAAAACCAAAACCGAAAAACTTTGAACAATCCATTATATCCAAACTGCATATAAGAAACAAGCTGACATAAACTGAAATGTGTTTAAAAACCTAGAGGACATCCTGTCCTGTACACATTCTAGTTTCCTCCCTGTAGCAAGTGCAGTCTTCTATAAACTGTCTAGGAAAACACTATTTCAGCAACTGCTTTTTGTTTTTTGAAGCAGAGTCTTGCTATGTAGCCCTGGCTGATCTGGCAGGATGGTTTCCCTTGTGGAGATCCTCCTGCCTCTGCCTCTCAAGTGCTGGGATTACAGGTGTGCACCAGTATGCCAGGCTCTATCTCAGTGACATCTGAAACCTCCTTAGTTGATCTGTTTATCAGCACTAGGCACCTATTAACCACTGCCAAATGCTATGTTTACCTCCAAGTTGGTAATGAAACACTTCATACATCATCTGTGAGACCAATAAAGGCTCTGTTTAGAAACAATACATAGCATGAGACTTTAGCATGAGCTCTTAAACTCAGGTAACAGTTCATGTCTTTCTGATAAAGTATAAGACCAGAGACCAATTGGAACGCAGTTCAATGTCTCTAAGGTCTTACCATTCACATATACAAATAGGTCTATTTTTTTCTTATGTATTTTTCTCTGATGCAGAAATTTATGTTTTTACATATGAATAATGAACTCTCTCCTGAGTGGAGAGATGGCTTAGCAGTTGAGAGTGCTTACTGCTCTTATAGAGGACCCAGGTTCGGTTCCCAGCACCCACATGTGGGCTGTGACTCCAGTTCCAAGAGATCCAAACCCCTGTTCTCCTCCAAGGGCTTTTGCATACATGCAGTACATACAATGTGGCACATATAAACTTATACAGATTCACACATATACACATAAATTAAAATAAACAACATCTCAGTGTTAGCAAAAACAATGAGTCTTTCTGCAAGGAACAATATATTTTAAAATGAAACAGATCTTCTTCAAAGGGTAAAAACTCATTCAATTTTATGTCTTACAGGGTTTATACTGAGTTCAATATTGTATGACTGTATTAATTCAACTGTGAACCTAAAAATTTACGGCCACCTTTGAAAGAGATGTGTCCTTGCTCTGGGATGTGTTACTGAATATATTAAAGCTGTAATGAAAAAAAAATCCTAATAATGAACTTTTATAAAACTCTTCAAATACAATATAACACAAGTTAAAAAGTAAATAAACAACTTACTGCAGACATTCATTTCTTTGCTCTGGGAAATACAGAGTTTGGAATTTCTGCTGGACGAGAACACATATAGAGGGACTGGTGTGACTTGCTTCCCCAAGATACTGTGGAAAGTACTCTATACCACAGTTGGGAATAAAAGAGAAAGAAAAGAGGAGGCGGGTGCAGGGGATGGAAAACAGAAGCCTCCCTGTGTCTAGCAGTGCCAGGTGAAAAACTAAAAAAGCAGGAAGTGGGTTAGTCCATATAAATGTATCAGGGTTCCTGCCTGCCCACAGAGGCAGGGAGATGGGGCTCAATCTACAGGTGTTTCCTAGAACAAGAACTTTTTAGGCTCCACTTTGTTCAGGGGGACACTACAATGGGTGTTAAAGCTAACCCCAGATGATCTTGAGCTATTGAACACTGTATTAGTGTATTGTTCAAATCAACAGAGCCCAAGGTTGAAGCCTATTCCAGTAAAGGGTTCATTAGATCCAGGCTGGTCTGATAATAGAATCTTTCTTACTCGCAGGATGGATGATGCACACTCAACTTGTATGATGGTCAAGGTCCTATTTCAGATAAAATTAGACCTATTTTCTGAACGTGCCTCCTCCAGACTGTGAAGGTGCAGAGGGCAATTCTATCCTCTGCTTCATCACTTCTTCCTCCTTACCCTGCTGGCCCAGGTGACCTCAGCTCTTCCTCTCATCACCAGAATGAAGAGTAGGAGAGAGAACTGAGTGTGGAGATGAAGAAGAGGGGAGAATCCAAGAATTTTGAAGTGAGAAGAGTCAGTAAGCTGATAATGAAGAACCTTCAAGGTTTGCTGATCCCAGCTGGTACTCTGAGCCCCAGTGCCTCCCACCAACCCCATGTTGAAGGGGTCAATTAAGGGAAGAAGGGTGTACTTTTCCGGGAGAAGAGGCATTGAGAGTTGTGCCAAATACGAAGGAAGAGCTCTGCAGTGAAGGGACTAGGAAGCGTCTGCTGAGGGCGGAGGCAGCCCTTGTGCTGGATATCTGAAATGGTCCTAGTTGCCCCCACACTCTCAGACAAGTCTCCTCTGTCATTTACCACATCGTGAACTTTTTTCTCCCCCCCCCCCGCCCCCCAAATCTTTTTGCTATAGGGTCTCACTGTGTTGCCCAGGTTGGGCTAGAACTCAGGGACGCCAGGTCGGTGCTGTCGCAGCAGCTCCACCACACAGAGGGACCGCTGAAGGCCCAGCTTCCAAGGGGGCATAACACGCCCGCACCTAGCCAAGAGCTAACCTGCAGACTTCGGAGTCCACCATAAATGCGCTCCCAACGCAGTCTCAGGATACCGCTCGCTTACCATGCCCTGGCTTCCGGGTGTCCGCGTCCTGCACTTGCAGCTCCAACACCTGCAGGTCACAGTGACAGTAGCTGCACTACCGACACTGCGGCCTCCCGTAACGTGGAGCAGATCCTAGTACTTCTGGTTCGGAGACGAAGTGCCGCGAGAGTATGAAGGCCCAACCAACCCTTGGCTCTAACTCCGTGCCCGATTGGATAGCGTCTCAACCCTCCTAATACGGAAACCTTCAAGTGCCACCCCTTCAAGTTCTGAGTGACAGCAGATAGCACCGTCCTGTGAGGCCTGAATGTTAAATTCCTTGGCTGCGGCTCTTTCAGGGCAAGGCTTCTGTGGGAGAACCTAGCCACCTAAGGGGACAAGTGCATTTAACTTTTTTGTAAGGTCGTATCCTTGTAGGAATTATACTGTATGTGTATATGTGATTCACAAAAGCAGAGGAATAATTTTTTTAAACTTCCGTAACTTTTCTAGACTGGTCTCCTGAGGCGACAGCCTGAGCTTTGGAATGGGAAGCGTTCTTTAAGACAGCAATATCAAATACAAGAAACCACCAAGCACAAATGTAATTAACATTTTCTATTATTCAAGTTAAGAAATGTAAAGAAAAAGGTCAGATTGATTGTAAAAACAACCCAGCATATCCTAATTGTTGCCATTATAGCATATGCTTAACATAAAATTTATTTGTAAGAGCTCTATACTTTTGAAACAGATAGGGGAGACAGCTCTCCTGGGGGCACAGGGGTGTTGAACTTTGTCAAATGCCTTTTCTTTGACAATTTTCCTTTGTTAGATTTGGGTATGTTAAACTGACTTTATTTTACATGATGTAAATATCACTTGGTTATGATGTATAATTTTGATGTACTTCTGAATTTTGCTTGCTAGTATTTTATTGAAAAGTTTTATGTATATGTTTATCAGTGATACTGGTCTACATTTTCCCTTTCTTTTGCTGCCTGTGACTTACTGTAGTGCTAGCATGATATCAACCTCAAAAAAATAATTTTGGAAGAGCATAAGAAGGTTTTGGTATTTTTGTGTGTTTAGTAGAAGTTAGCCATGAAAGTGTCTGGTCGTGGGCTTTTCTTTTGTGTGTTTTTAATTACAACATCAAATTTTATAAAAGTACCTGTTTTTCAAGTTGAGGGCACTGATGTTAAACTTGCTTGTCTCTTGTGAATGTTTAATGATGTAGCTTACAGAAGGTGCTTATCATATAGCATATGATAAAAATCAATCAGTTCAGTGACACTCTTATATGAAACCCATAAAAAGACACGGAAAGATAAATTTCGATGTGAAATGGTTACAATTGCTCATAGCATGGCCTGTTAATCACAGATAATGACAGGGACTGTGGGATTAAATATACTTGGAGTCATCTCAGGAATTTAAAGTTATGATGTAATAAAAGCTCACCACCATAACCCCCCCAAAGCCCAAAAATAAAACAACTAATAGGGCTGGTGAGATGGCTCAGCAGGTAAAAGCTAGCTGGGATATACATGCAGAATTCTTTCACTTGATTATAAGAAAGTAAGGTGGTAATGAAAAAAATAAACCCACAGAGAGAATGTGAAGACCACTTGTCTTCAAGTGGTATGTGTCCTGGTTGCTTCATCAGGGTCTAGTGTGCAGCAGGTCTGAAAAGAATGAATGGGGCTCAAGGCAGGTGACCTCAGCCCTGACAATATCATAGTGGGTGGGGCTGCTTCCTCTTCTATATGGGCTCTAGGTGGTTTCCAGTCTATTGCCAAAGAAAGGCTTATCTTTCAAAAGTCAAGTGTATTGGAGTTTAAATATTAATATAAAATAAACTTAGAAATTTGAGAAATTGATATTCTTTTTTAACTTAAAAATTTATTTATATTTTATGTGTATGTTTTGCCTATATAATATGTGGGTGCACCTGTGTTTTGCAATAACCACAGAGGTCAGAAGAGGGTGTCAGATTCCCTGGAACTGGAGTTATGGACTGTTGTTAGCTGCCGTGTGGGTGCTGGGAGGTGAACCTGGGTCTTCTGAAAGAGCAGCCAGTGCTCTTAATCACTGAGCCATCTCTCCAGCCTGAGAAACTGATATTCTAAAAAATCCAGAAGCATGCCCTCTTTTGTAAATAATCCCGCCCCCCTTGCTGAGCTACAGCCCCAGCTCTCTTTTTGCTTGTTTTGTAGTCCAGCAAGTTCTTGAAATTGTAGTCTTCCTATCTCATTCTCTGAGTAGCTGGGATTGCAGGGCTGTGCTCTTTTTTGAATTAATCTTTAAGAAAGTTCTGCAACATGGATTGTTGGGATCCAGTCTTGTCAAATTCCAGACTGCATTAACATTTCTATTTCTAAGGAAATAAAAAAGAGAGACAGTTACTCATGTATTTCACAATAAAAGGGTTAGGGAATAAATGAAGCTACTAAAACTAAATATTTTTTACCATATTTAAAAATGTGTGAGAGAAGAGGTAAACTTATCAAATGTCTATGATAATATAAAAAGCAAATTTTTTTGGTTAGAAGTGAAATCCAAGTGTGTTTTTTCATTTTTGTGACGAAATACCTGATAATAGCAATTTAAGGAAGGAAGAGTATATTTTGGCTCGTGATTTGAATATATAGTCCGTCACGATGGAGAAGACATGGTGATGAGAGAGTTGCTGCTTACAGAGAAATAAATGCTGTTACACCCCTTGCTCTCTACTGAAGTGGGTCTTTCCTTCTCAGATAAACCTCTCCAGAAATGCCCCCTTTCACTCTCCCATAGGAGTACTCCTAGGTGATTCTAAAATTCAGTCCATTTGATGATGACGATAATGATGACGATTAAACACAACACCAAATATCTCCTAAACGGTATCATTTTATAAGCCTCATAGCCCTGGCTGGTTTGCCTCACTCCACCCCCATCTCCAGGAAGGACCAGCAGGTTGGAAATGTCATTTTATTTGAATTTGATTCTTGAGCGAGGGATTTCTAAAGCAATTGGAAGGGCCTTCCACAGGCAACTGGCCCAGCCAGCACTCCTGCCCAGGGTCTCATTCTGGCCTTTGGAGAACTGAGCTTGTCTTCTCGAAGCACAGCCCCACCTGCCTGCACTCTATAGAGGGGTCCCACCACCTCCATGTGAACAATGGACAGACCCTCCCATCCCAGGGAATGAAGGGAGGTTGCCCATCTCAGTCTAGACAGTAGACAGAGGCACAGGGGGCCAGGTCATAAAGGTTTCTCTGGAGGTGGCCTTTGCTGGGTCTCCCAGCTGGGTGGGACATCTCTGCTGCCACTGACCATCCAGAAACAGTCAGGGTGTACCTGGCCCTGCACAGCCTCACACATCATCAACTCCCCATCCACAGAAAACGCACCCCTCTGGTTCTTGGGCTCCAAGCGGAAGGCGACCATGGGTACATGCACCAAGTAGGGGCAGTCACATTCCATGTGCTTGCCCTTTTGCATGGCCAGGAAGAGGCGCAACAGCATGGCCCTCGATACCCCCGCACGCACATAGAACAGATGCATAACGCCAGCCGCACAGCGGCCCATGGGTGCTGCAAACATCTCGGAGCTCAGATGGGTGTATAGCAGTACCAGCACCAGCACAAAGTCCTGGTAGGGCACCACAGTCCAGTGGGAGGGCACTGGCTCATCCAGGGGAATGAGGTATGTGTCCACAGGGCCATTGTGCATCAGTGGGGGAGAGGCAGGCTTCTTAGAGATGGTGCTTCCTACAGGAAGGTAGGCCAGTTGACCCTGGTAGATGCGTAGGGCTGCGAGGCGAAAGAAGGTGCCCAACGTGAAGTGCATCTCCCCAAGGCGCCGGTACTTCTCACTCTCCAGATCCACATCAGCAATGAAGCCCCAGGCCAGACTGAGCCCGGAGTAGAGGTGCAGTCCAGAGGCAGTGTGCATCAACAGAAGATTCATGGGTGACAGGTGCCGGCGACACAACAGCAACGTGCAGTTGGTCAGGAGGTCTTCATTAGTCACCTGCTCATACCTGCAGGGTTCAAGGTCAGATGGGGCGGGGCATGAGCCCCATGCATCCTCTTTTTACTCTTCCTGGGGATTGGGGACAGACAGTGATGTGGTCCCTAGGGAGCTGGTGGGGGCAGTGACAGCAAGTGGAGACCACTGGTCCCAGCCAGTGATCTGAGGATGAGGCAGGAGTGGCAACTTAGAAAACCTGGTAGAGGGGGTGGGGGAGGGGGGATGACACCCACTCTGGCCTCTCACCCAGCATAGTAGTTCAAGGAAGCTGCTAGTGCGTTGCCAGAGCCTCCTGGAAGGCTACAC